ATGCCTTTGGAAATTCTATACTTCTTCACAAGAGGCTTGAAAAACCCTTAAGAATCCAGTCTGTGTGTTTTCAGAGTTGTGACCACACAACTCTGTTTTGTATTAAATTTCTGTGTGTTTTGGTAGAACAGGATATATCTGTGGCAACAGCAGGTGAGTGTCAGCTCTTGCATGAAATATACAGGTAAAGAAGTGCAATTTAAACAAAAGCCTGAATAATGAGTATGGAAAAAGTGTGTAATAACAGCTCAACTAGAAACCCACTTGAAAGCAAGCAGGAGAATTGGCACTACAAGTGTGTGCTAATTATATGGGGGAGATTTGTCTGAACGAAGAGTGTGTAATGTCTCTATATAGGTTAAGGACACTGGGCTGTTTCTGTCTAAGAAATCATGATGCTTTGGTCTCCAGCCTGTAGCCTCAAGTTATTCCCTTATGTCCTTTAAAACACAGAGAGTGGCTTTGAAACATAACTGGATCATGCTCTTCACCCACTCACACTGCCAGCTGTGAATTCCTGGGCTCACAAAAGGGGGTGGCCCTTGCAAATGGCATTTAAGGCTGTAGCAGACCTGCAGTGCATCTATTTCTGCTCCCTTCAATGCTGGCCTGTGAGGGTAGAATGCCTATTTTACAGGGTGCCTTAAAGTGCTCACAGTGCAAACACAAAAAGATGGAGGGTGAGGAAGATCTTTGCAATGATGGGGCTGGAATCATGAGGGAATTGAGTCGTGGTTCTGCCAAAGAAATCCTGGGGTTATTTCCAGCCTTTCATGCAGTTGCTCATCTGTAAAAGGCTGACAACAGAGTCTCGTTGTATCCTTGGGGGTGATCTTCCTTTCTTCAAAGAGAAGAAAGTAACAACAGAGAAGGTTGTAAATATGAAGATGGGACATTATTTACTCAAGATATCTGACTGTCACTGTCACAGTAGCATTTATTCCCCTGGAAAATAAAACAGCCAACTGAGCAGCAGAAACAGTGTTCCCTCCCAACTTGGGTTAAGGCAACCATAGTATTATTTTCTCCCCTCCCTGTTTTGCCTGGTAAATTTCAAAGTTTGAGAGACCTGTTTCAGTGAATAGATGTGACCCAGACACTGCTTTTACAGTAAGGTCTGGATCTCAAAATTTCCCTCTGTCTTATTAAGTTGTTTAATAGAAATAGTAAGCTATATATAAATAAGTAGCTGACAACATCCTTCTGGAGAAAATATTATGAATAGTATGAAATATGCTTCTTGGTGAAAAAAAGTCCATCATACTTATTTTGTGTTATTTGTTCACCCATCTCACTACATCTTACACAATCAAAGTTGTGACAAAGATCATAATTGAAGAGAATGGTACTGTACTTATCCCCTACCCTGCTAAAGCTTTAACCATTGATGAAAACGTCTGCTTTCAGAGCTGTTGCTTATGCCATGTGGCTTCTATCAGTGGGAGAAAGTGACAACAGGGAAACAAGCTCAAAATTACTGCTCACAGTTAAGAAATCTGATAGAATCCACTTTTCCTCCCTTGCTTCCCTTTCTAGTGAGGTAACCATAAAGCTTGAGATCAACCATGCAATGCCAAAAGAACGTGCACACTTTTCTGCCTCCTTGGTTGTTAGATTCTTATGTGTAGGCTTCTCAGTCCAACCTTGTGATCACAATTTTACTGCATAAACCCTGTTTTAGCACTGAGCAGCAAATGGCAGACAGCTGCACACAGACAGGCACACATGACTTCACCTTTGCAATGCCAAGTGCCTTCTGTGCACACTTTGGGGCTCAGCCATCACTTGCAGTCCTGCAGCCTTCCACCTGAGCTGCTATGTCAGTCTTTCTCCCTTCTCTTTCCTATGGTATTGCCTTGGCCTTCCACTTACAATTTGCATAGAAATTGATTCCTCATAGTCCAAGAATCTCATCTTTCTTCTGCTTGTGTTTTCTGTTTCATAACTTTAGTTTGTATTAAGGGGAAAAGCAAGAGTTAGCAAATAGAAAAGTAGATAACAATAATTTAAATAATCCGTAAGCATTACCAGTCATAAACATGCACCAAGTGGAGTGACTGACACACACCACCTGTGACTGCTTAAATGTGATCCTGTCAGCACTGACAGCATCATATACAGGAACAACCAAATACTAGCTTGGCTGGGTCCTAATGCCAAGGGCAGAGTGACAACAGTAATTATAGTCACTTTCCTCATCTTCACTGCTTGCTGGCTCTGGAGAGGACACTCTTCCTGGGGCCACATTGTTTCACTTCTTGTCAGGCACTTCCTTCTCTTTCTATTCTTTTTCACCTACGGTAACTTCAAGTTGATGTGTGGACCCCACTGATAAAATTTTGTGCAGGCAAACCTGTCTCAAGAGGTGTGATGATACTATCCCCAGACATTTGGCAGTCTTATTCTCAGACCCTGCTAGAAATGTGGGAAACAGAGGTAGAGCCCGCCCCATAAAAGACACTGACTCTATGTATTATTGCTTGAGCTAGTTATATTTCGTTAATAAGAGCTTAACTTTGTTATACAAAACACCATCTTATTCTAGGACAGAATGCTGCATAGAGCAAAGATTAAGCAAGACTCCTTTATATAGACTATATGGGTTACATGGACATTATACAGACATTATATGAAGATTTGCCGGGTTTGATTTTTGTCAAATTTTAAGCATTCAGGCTAATGCTCTTCCAAACCAAGTCTCTCACTAAAACATTACTCTTCAAATATTCAAATAAATATGACAAGTCCTGGTGCTCTGTCATCTAGAAGTGCACACACTCCCTCATTCCTGCTCTGGAGAAGGGATTTTACATCAAGAGTGAGGGGAGGTAAGAGACTGCAAGGCGCAGACACAGATCTTTAAGTTATCTCACCCTATCCCACATTTGGCCCGTGCTTTAGGCAGAAAAAGATGCTGGTGCACTTTGGCGAGTCCATCCCCATAGCAGGGGGCAGCAGAGCCGGCCTGGTGGGGTGCACAAAGCAGCCCCGCTCCGGTGTGCTGCCTGCTCCCTCTGCTGGCACCGCCGGCTCCAAACGCCGCCGGAGAGCTGCGGAGCAAGTGCAAGACGCCGAAACAGCCTTGAGAACACGAGGGTTGTATTTCCTTCGCAGTACGATGAGCCATCGGTCCTGCTCACTAGTGTCAGCAGCCTGCAGATTGTGCTTCTCTTGTGCACGTCTTGGAGCTGTTTTCTTCATTTATCATCCCCAAAAAACCCGTACCTTTCTCTCCAGTTACTCACAGTAGCAAAACAGTCACAGTTTTTTCAGTCACTTCATTTTTATGGGCCTCAAAATCTGTGAAGTGAGCAATAGAGTAGAAAGAAATACTTTTGACCTTATGTAAAAATCCTCTGGAGAAGGCAAATTATCTGCAATAATTCCTCTACTACAGCATCCATTCTAGTTTTCTCCTAACAGTGCACAGTGGACTTTTCCAGCCTTTTGAAATAACATCTGATAGGGGTGGTCAATTCATACAAGCTTTGTGAAACCAGTACAGGACAGAAAAATATTGTTTGTCTCCCAGTCAGAGGAAAAGTTAGTGCTGACTTCAGCTCTTAAAGTATACTGGAAACATGCTGTGCATCCCCTAATCATGGGGTAAGAACTCATATCATCTTAGACATCAGGTAATTCAAAGATAAGAAAACATTATAAGAAATTAAGTTATATTAGGTCTACATCTCACAGTGACACAGGACAGTTTGCAGTCAGAAAAAAAAAAAGTGAAAATTAAAAAGCTGTCCTTGAAACACCAGAATTTTGGGACAAAATTATTCTTTTAAGCCTTACAGCAAGTTATTTTTAAAAAACCATGTCTGCTGTGGGCTATAATAATTAATGTGAATTGTGACTTCTGTAGGAGTAACAAAATCTATTGATCTTATACTGCATCAGCAAAAAATGAGGACTGGTGTTTTAAAACAGCATTGTAGTTATGTAAGAAAGACCAATATTCTGCTAGTGTTCAAAATTTAACTATAGTAGCATCTTTTTCAGACCCAAAGTTAGCACGGTATCACCTCTAATACTAGAATTTCCTAGCATGAAAGCCATGAATGGCTTTAGCTTATCTAAAACAAAGAAACAAGAGTCATCAGAAAATTAAAAGGATCTGGATATAGGCCGTGCACAGGAAACAGTAATATCCCTAGAGTAAGACTTCTGACTGTTTAGAAATCCTATTTTAAAATATACTTCATAGTTTTATCCATGTGGTGAAAACGCTAAATTAGAATCTGTGATTAAATCTCATACACTTTCAATATCTGAATATAACCAAGAATTTCTGTATATCTGCATCTGTCTATATTTCACAATATAGAAGCAGTTTTCTGTAAAGTAAGAGGCTGATTAATTTAAGTAGAATTTACTTTTCCAGTCCATCCGTAAAAACATTTCTGAGGACTTGATTACAATTATTAACTTAACAGATAACTTCTTTTCTTCATTATTAATCTGTTCTCTTCTGATTCCATTTTAAAGTGTGTTAAAGAAGGTTTGGAAATGTTTTGAATAGTGATACTTGTGGAAATCACACTTACAGGGAAGTGTAGCAATTTAACATTATGAAAGTTCTGACATTGCCTCCTGTCCAACAGTACTTAACCAGTAAATACGTTTTCTGGAATGAGAAAACAATCTGTAGGATGAACAAATTACTTCAGGTGTTCTATCCTGTTACTTAATGAAATTATTAGATTATGACTGATTTAACTAAAAGAAAGACCATATGCTTCTGATCTCTCAGGGGAGATGAAACAAATCAGAGATCCTAGCAAGTAACTTGTTTTCCTACCAAGTCCTCCTGGTAAAAGCAGTGCACATTTAGGAAACACTGCTCAGACATGTGCAGGGCACAAAGTGAAACACATTGACTGGATTCTTCTTGAAGATACACTGGCTGCTGAAATGTCAGCACCTGGTTAATAAAAGCAGTGTAACCTTTTGCACTCCTCCTCTTCACAGGACACAGGAATGCAGAAAAATCCAAGCAGTTCCCGCCTGCACTTTCCCTTGAGCCACAAAAAGCTGAGAGTTCCTCCAATCCCAGATCACAAAGCAAGAAGCTGCTCTACTCCCCCATCAGCAGAAGCTTTTCTGGGCCCTGGGAGCTGTGTCCCTTGACAAAGGCCTTTGTCCCTCACCTGTGAACATTTTCACAAAGTCGACGCTCGACATGCTCATAACCACATCAGCTGTCACCGGAGGCTTTCCGAAGCCAGCGCTCCCACCCTTGGTCTTCAGGTCAATATACCAAGTGCCTCCACCGTCACCTGGACAGGGAGTGAAGGGAGGTGAGAAGGCAGCGCCCAGGTGAGAGCGCTGTGCCCTCCCTCTCTGCCAGAGAGGCCGCAGCCGAGTGCCTTTGCAGCGGTTCTGTGGTGGATGCTCAGCAAGGAGCCACCGCTTGTCCCCTGTGACGCCCCAAGCCCCACGAGCCGGGGCCATGGGCAGGACAGCCCAGAGGCTGCGCTTTGCTCACAGAACTGGTGGCACTTCTCCCGTGGCCCCGAGAGTGCCCTGTCTGTTCCCACACCAGCCCTGTGCCAGCCGGGACAGAGGCTCCGCGTGCGGCACGAGGGCAGCGGCTCCCGACGCCCGCTCGGGTGGGCCTGGAGCGTCACACAGAAGAGAAGAGGAGCCGGTCTGCTTTGGGACAGCTTCCAAAGTGATTCTGTTTGAAAATGCCCAGTGCCTTTTGCTAGGCAAGGTTGCACAAGCGATGGTCTTACCAGACAGCTCAAACTGAAAGACACCCTGAGTACTTTTCACATGCTCTTCAGTCAGTGCCCCTTGAATAACTCGGAATGTCTCTGCAACGGGACCTGATGGCTTGGCTGCAGCAGATTCTGTCTTAACCTTCGCTCCATCTGCTCCTTCCTGCTGGGATCCACTTAATTTCTTCTCTTTGAATGCTTGGGCAACACCTCCCATAAATTAATTATTGTGCAAAGGCTTCTAAACTGCAAATCAGTAAATCAATTTACTGCTTTTGTTGCCAACATTCAGAAATCTCTAAACATGGGCAAATGGTTTAGAAAAGAGACATCTTGTACCCAAGATGCAAGGTGGATATTTTCCACAAATCAAGCTGACCAAGGATTAAAATGCGAGAGAATTCACATGTTATGTAAATTTGAAATCTACATAAACCTGCCAATAGTTGCCCTCTGCCTACTGCTAATTGCTTAGCTTGTGCAACCTTATGCAGTACGTGTCACTGCACCTGTGTAGGCCTCTTCAGGGGACTCTAGTGGTCCCTGGTGGTCGTTTGGGGAGGTGGCCCCTACTCAGTTTCAAGCCAAGTTCAGTTCAGGACATGCAGAGCCTCAGATTGAGCATCAAAGAAGATGTCATCTTCTCAGACAATTGCCAGACAAGTCATAAAATACAAAAGTTTTCCATAAACATTGAGCAACATCTGCTTAACCCACCTGATAGCATCTTTCTACATTTAAAAGCAGGGTTAAAGGGGAGCATGATACCATCAACTTCCATCTGGATCAGAGATCAAAGGAATGGACAGGGACAGCAGATTCTGCTTCAAGACTCAGAGTTTAAAGATGCAGAGAATTCTACTTAAAATACAATTAATTACAATTACAGAGAATTCTGTTTAAACACATCAATTTGATCAGCATTTTTCTTTACCACAGTGAATATGCACATTTAACAATAATGGAAATCTTTTGCAATTTACAAAGCAAATCAAGTTGAACAGCCCCTTAAAATCCTGTTTAAAGTCTCTTAGGTGTTTTCAGTCTCAAAAAATACTTAGGTCTATTGTGTGAGTCCCTACAAAATAACCTGCACTGGGAGCCCAAGGAACTAACACCACTTGCCCCTGGCAGAATGGTCCAAGTGTGACTGCCCAAGGAGTATTTCCAACAGAAAGGAACACTTGCAAGTTTGCCTCCTCTACTCTGGCCTTATCCCTACTTTGACACTCATATAAAGCCAGCTCAGCATTCTTAGTTGCCCTTCACCCTGACATACAACACTTTTGAAAAAGCAAAAACAATGCTTTTCTAAAAAAATCCCCAAACATTTCTGCATTTCATCTGAGAGACTGTAAATCACGCAAATTTCATCTAGGATGCAAGACAAACTGGTTATGATATAATTTAGCAAGACTGGTCATATGACTTATCTGACAAATGTGCTATTTTCCATTTGATTTCTTTTTCCAGCAATACTCACCTGTGACCTTCACTATAAAAAAAAGGATTCTTCTAAATAAGATACTGATTATAAACCAAGAATTTTTCAAAGTCCTGTGGTAGGTAACATTCTTTCACTAGTTTTAAGTACAGAGGCTCTGCAGCTACTTCCATAAATCTCACCCTCCAAATGAGAAAAAGGGTTTTTGCAAATAACTTGAATTGAGTCCAAATTCTTGAGAGAAAAAACAAACCAATCCGTTTGAAATCCAGAGGGCATTTGCTACCACCAGAATTGATCAACTTGTATATACAGTGGTTTTCCTACTAGATCTTTCTATCTTTACTGATACCATCAAAACTGGAAACCTTTCAAAGTTGCAAAGAAAAAAAGTTTGAAGTTGAGAGACAATGTCTTTTGCCGGTATGTAGTAAAAAAGAAATAGTTGTGAGTTGAGGAATTACAACCAATTTAATTATTGTCATTTAATATAACTACAAAATTATTTTGTTACTAAGAAATTAAAACAAACACTTAGAAAAATTAACCTCAACTCTTCTGCACGCACCTTGTTTATTTCAAATAAATTGTAACATTTTTTGCCAAATCTGGGAATTGCTCTTAGTAATAATATAAGAATAATAATAATATGTTATACTAGAATGTATTATATAAATATAATATATATATTTATATATATATATTTATATATATAAATATATATAGTATAAAGTATGATAATAGTATACCCGTGAGTGTCCTTAGATATCCAAGTCTTATTTAATATCCCAATCAAATAGTAGTGAGTTTAAAGTGAGTATTTCTTCTGCTAAAAAGTAATATGTTAAAATAACAGCAATATTCAATAGGGTGCACATTTGTTAATGAATGGGGGAAACAATCTTGCAGACCATAGAATGGGCATACCAGTGAACTATGCCCCATGCATGCCGCTCGCACAAGTGGTTTTCCTCCGTTTAACTCCCTCAATATTTTCCTTTTCCTACCTATTTCTATATTGATATGGAGACATATTCATTAAAAGAAGTGCTCTAAGACGACTGGTGCCGAAATTGAATTGTCACTCAAAAGCTCGGGAGGCTTGAGGAGGGGCGGCACGCGTGTCAGCCCCGGCTGCGGGCTGGCAGTGAGGTGCAGCTGGCAGAGGGAGGCACTGGCGGAGCGCCTGAGCCAGGGCCAGCGGGGGCAGCCGGGCAGGCGTCGCTGCAACGCGGCACGGCGCAGCGGCGCAAGAGGCTGATGGGGAAAACAATAAATTAAAGGAAGAGAAGGGCGCTCCACGTTCTCCTGCGAGTAGCTGCGGGGTCAGGAGCTAGCTCCAGGTGGATGCTGCTCCATCGGAGGGGAAAGCATTTGGGAGGGCAGAGGGGTGTCCTTCCCCGCTGCGCCCCAGGACCGTGGGGGTTTCTGCAGTGCAGAGAGCAGAGCACAGGACTGCAAGCACAGATGCAAGGGTGCTCAGCCCACGGTAAATCCGTGCTCCCCTGCTCAGCACTCGGAGTGGGGGGGGCGAGCTGCGTGGCTGCCGAGCAGGCACCGCCAACACCGCTGAAACCCAGCGCTCCAACCTTGCGCCTTCTGTAGCGCCTGTTCAAACGCTTTCTGCCCCCCAGGCTAAAAAAAACTTCCAGGAGGTAAATTGACCCTCCTGATACAGGAAAAAAGCCCATCACCCCAGTTCCCCTATTACATACTGGAGAGAGAAAAAAACACAAAAAACCCAAAACAAGCACTTGCTGGCTGAACCATGATGCTCGGGGGCTTTTCCTGCACGTACTTGTGAACGCAGCTGACAGCGGCAGCTCTCTACACTCAAACACGATGGCTTACTTCCATGCAGGATACCATGAAGGCTTATGGTCTGGGCATGCAGCTATGGCTGTCAAGCTGTGCCTTGGTCATCTGGGCCGAGTGGCTGCAGGGAGAATGACAGAAGAGCACGCCTGAAGATCTTAGCTAAGCGCTGTCACTTCCATCGGTGGAGGATGTCAACCCTGGGAAAGCAGGTGGTATGGAAGACCTTACAGCTGCAAAGTGTTCAGACAGCCCTTGGCCCCTTTAGCCTGCTCATGCCTCAGTCACGCAGGAGTCTGCACCCCTGTGACACCGTGAACTGCAGTGAACCAACAACCACCATTATAATAATACACGGACTAATGCATCCACTCAGGGCTCACTTGGCTTTTTGTTGAAGTCAGTAAAACCATCTGTCTCAATTCCTCCAGCAGGTTCAGACCTACCAGATGATTTCCCCTTCTGCCATCAGCTCCCAGTGAAACTTGAAGCCCTGTCAGGGTGCTGCACAGAATCTCTGTGAGAGCTGAAGTGGGGAAAGGCAAGTCAAAGATGAAACCTGGTGGAAGATTTGGTAACCACAGTTAACAGCTGGTCAGCTTGGCAAGGATGGGAGGAGGTCAGGGTCTTTACAGGGCAGCAGAGGGAGGACGAGAAAAAGTTACATGTGCAGGGCATGAAGGTGAGGGCTGACCTCACAGTTATTGTGAAATAAGAGAGATACTAGGGGAGAGGATGAAGGAGAGAATAGGTGTGCCTGTGTGAGGAAAGACAGAGGATCCTACTGCAGGCTTTCTAATAAACAGGAAATCACAGACTCGTTAGAGTTGAAAGGGACCTTTAGAGTTTATCTACTCCAACCACCCTGTCAAGGCAAAATGACACAAGCCTCCCTGGGTAGACTAGTGCTCTGCCACCCTCAACATAAAGAAGTTCTTTGCCATGTTTCAGTGTAATTGTGGTTTAATTTATGGCCACTGATCCTTAGTTTGTCTCCTGGCATCACTGGAAAGAGTCTGGCACTACCGTCTTGGCATCCACTTTATTTATACGCATTACGGAGATTCTCTCCCAGTCATCTCAGGCCCAGCTCCTGCAGTCTGCCCTCAGAAGAGAAATGCTCCAGGCCCCAAATCATCTTTGTGCTCCTCCACTTGACTGACTCCAGTAGCTCCTTGTCTCTCTTCTCCTGAGGAGCCCTGAACTGGACACAGCGCTCCAGAAGATGAGGGAGAGGCAAAGCTCCAGTGATTTGAGAGCAATTGGCAGGAAACCAAAGCAAGATTTCACACACATGGCGGAAAATGAAAGGATGCGGAAAGCCTACCAGTTCCTTCATCCCGCGTATGCCTTTTTCCAGTCTCAGGTTAGCTCGCACCCCCGAGCTCACCACCCGCCCTGTGCCCACAGCCCCCGGGCAGAGCGGCGAGACCCGGCCGGGNAGGACACGCGTGTCCCCGCGGGGCCGGGCCAGCCGAGGGGCCCCGGGCAGCACCTGGGCCCCGGGACGAGCAGTTCGGATCGTACAGGGGACTTGAAGGGTGTTTTGCAAGGGAAATAGTTAGCGGAGGAGTTTAATGTAAATTAGGCACTGTATCAGTAATTTCATATGGAACGTTTATATCAAAGTATAATTACTTATTATTACTACTACTATTGTTGTTGTGATTGCTATTTTTGTTACTATTGTTGTGTAGTAATTTGGTCCTCTACTAGTGTCTTAACCTGGCAGTCAAGTTTTCTTCCTGTGCAGGATCGTAATTTAGAGGTGCTTTCTGCCTTTTTGGCTTTTCGGAGGTCAGCACTGCTAACAGCTGGGAAGATAAGTTATTATTTGTTTCTGTGTGTTATAAACAGAATTATGCAATTCCTAGATTCCTTAATGTGTGTAGGTTGCTTAAAGTGTCCTTGATGTGACCTGAAGGTCTTTACTGGCAGTCATCTGTGTGGGAAAGGAACCTATCTTAATGTTTTTCAAGATTGTAGGGCACAGATGTGAATTTGATGTTTTCTATCTTCTTATTCAACTCTGATGAAAGTGATGCAGATGTGACTTTCACAATACAGGTCATAAGAAATTTCAGCTGGGCAGATATGCTTTATAAACTTTAAACTATTGGGCTGCTAAGTGAATTAAGAAATAAATCTTTAGTCTTGCGAATATAACTAACTAACCACCACCCTCTGAGCCTGACCAACCAACCAGTTTTTTACCTGTCAGATTGCACATACATCCAGATCATAGCATCATGTCTTAAATATGCAGCAAAAATATTATGATAGTGTTGAAAGACTTGCATTCACCCACTCCATTGAGCAATGGACCTGCTTTTCCTACCAGTGTAACAGAAGTCTCTAAGCTTTTGATGCCCTTCTGCTGCAGGTGAACTTTGGTTTTCCTGACGCCACCCCAGCATGCCCTGGCAACGTTTCTAATTCCTTCTTTGTGGCTTGTCTTTGCACCCACACCTTGTATGACACTTTTGTTGGGAGCTGAATCACAAGTTCCCTGCATAGCCCTGCTGATATCAGCCTCCTGGTAAACCTTCTTGTCTTCCTGAGTAGACCGCTCCAGCCCCAGGCAGGGCTTAAAGCCCCATCAGCTTTTCTCTGCTGTTTTCTCCTCCAGGGCTGCCTCCTGTTGGATCCCATTTACCTTTTCCATGACTAAGGTGAATTGTGCTGACCTTGTACTGGTTGGTTGAAGGTAGAAACTAGATTCTGGCCTTACTTCATTGAGCTGTACACTTTGACTATTCATATCAAGTATTCCAGACTTGAACTTTTCTCACTGTGCTTGTGACTGAACTCATGGCTGTAGTTTTTTGTGGTTCACTGTTCTGTTTTGATATTTTTCTTGCCTTTCTAAGGCTCATAAGATTTTGCTGATAAAAACAGTTCGTAATGGCACCTTCAGGACCTGAGACCCCTGATCTCAGGTTGACTTCCTGAGATCCTGTAGATGACTAGCCTTGCCTCTTCAGGGGAAGAGGCATCTCCCCCTTTCTGCCCCATTCCAATTTTCTGCCTTTTGAAAGCAAACATCCTCCTAGATAGTATTTAAGAGATAGATGTTCTCAGATTAGAGGAGAAAAGAAACACATGTGAAACATGAGGGGGAGAAGGTTTAGCCCAGCCTGAAAGGAAAACTAATGGGAGCTCAGAGTGTAAGCTTTTGTAACATTTGTAATGTGCCACTTGTGATGCAAGCATAAAGTGAAGTTACTGTTGCACATTGTTTATATGAATTATTCAACAGAAGTTAAAAACCTGAAGCTCCTGGGTTTTGCTACAGTGTTACATAAAGCAATATAAGCTTTATGTGGAACACTGAAACAGGCATTCCTTTAATATGGAAAACCTGTTGTCTAAAAGGCTTTATCATTGAACATGTTTGTGGAGTTGATATGTGTCTTCAAAAATTCAGTGATATTGTGTTAGCCAGACAGCTTTCTCAGGGTTTAAAACTTGTTAGTTTCTCTAAGTTGATTGGACCTGTTTATTCGGAGAACCCATTGGACTACACCCAGTTACTGGGAAGCTGTCAAGTGTAGAAGATTTAAGAGAAAAATTGCCATTTCTGAAAATAAAGCTTTTGGCATTTGCATATGACACTGTGGTTCCAGACTTGGTACTTTATACCACGTTGATACATCAGTTTTGTGTTTAGAGCACTGTGATTAATAGAGTACAGAGATCTGTGTAGGTGTGTGTCTTGTTGGAAACTGGCATTTTGTTTGTACAAATTACTCCTTTTCCATTGCAGAATATAGCACCTCTGTTGTAAAACAGTGTATTGGATATCTTTACAGAAAGGGAGAAATGTAACTGGGTGGCCTGTGTAACCTTCTTTATAGTGTTTGCAAACTTGGGATGTGGTCTTACATCAGTGGTACTTTTCTGTAGCTGTAGCCTTTTGTAGTCCCTGGGCTGTTTTCTTAGTAAGAGGACAAAGGCATTTACCTGGCTGGGAGACTGTGGTAATTACGTTTGCCCTTAGAGTCTGATAAAAGTCAAATGATTTACAGCTTCTGCTTTATTCTTCTCTTCTTTACCATCCACTTTCCCCTTCACCTTTAGGAAACTGGCAGGATGCACTCTCTTCATCACAGGCGCGAGTCGGGGCATTGGCAAGGCCATTGCTTTGAAAGCTGCCAAGGATGGCGCCAACATTGTGATAGCTGCCAAGACAGCTGAGCCCCATCCTACTCTTCCAGGGACTATCTACACTGCTGCAGAAGAAAGTAAGTTGTAACAAATGAAGGTGCTGGGCTGGGTGTATACTCTTGCTTAATTACTGTACCTGACTGAAAAAATGCATAGACTCTTAGTTCACCTTTACTAAAATAAGCTTAGTGCTTCTCTTGCCTCCCAGGAATGCTGTAATGTTGGTGGGTGTATGTATATAAATGTAAAAATGCTATGCTATTTGAGGTGTATGAAATAAACATTTGCAGTGTTAAGATTTGTTTTGGCTTCCCTGTTCCTCATACAATGTGTTGAAAGGTCACACTTTTAAAAGGTCAGAAGTTTAAGAGTGTGATTTTCACTGCTGTCTTGAAGCAAGTCATTGCCTGAGACATTCTCAGAAGGTTCATGTTAGTTGTCCCATCTGAGAGCAAATTTTTAAATATTTAATTTTTAATTGTGCAGTTGAAGCAGCTGGAGGAAAGGCTTTGCCGTGCATTGTTAATGTGAGGGAAGAACAGCAAATCATTAATGCCGTGGAGAAAGCTGTAAAAACTTTTGGAGGTAAGTTAAGGCATGGGGGAAGGCAGGCACTAACAGGCAGATTGTTCACACGAAAAGGAAAAAGAACTACCTGCCTTATTCATGCTTTTTTTTCTTTAAAAGCTAATGTGAAATGGCTTACTTTAAACCAGGGATTGATATTTTGGTGAATAATGCAAGCGCCATCTCTCTGACGGGCACTTTGGAAACAGCAACGAAGAAGGTCAATCTTATGATGGATGTCAATGTACGAGGAACCTACCTTACGTAAGTGCTGAGAGAAAGAAGCAAAGCAATTGTAGCAGAATGTATGATGTTATTTCAGTTTTTCTGAGAAATCTGTAGCTGTCTTGCTGCCCTGGCATTTGAGTGCAGATACTCTGTGTGTGCTCATAGGAAATTGCTCAGTTTTTGGTCAGCTGATTTGAATTAATATTTCCAAGAATTATTTGCAAGTTGGAGTAAACAGAAACGTTACTACTGCAGTCATTAAATGTTCACAAGCCCCTCCATGCATGTAGGAAGAAAAAAGTAATTTGTTTCAAATTAAGCTCCAGCTCAGCTTTATTAAATGCTGATGCTCCTTTATTTCAAGGAAAATGACTACATTTTTGCATACATCAGATCAATATTTTACTTACCAGTTTTCTTCTCATAAGCTTCTTTTTCATGTTTAGAAACGTTGTATAACCATCCTTAAAGGAGAAATGTTAAAGATGTAACTTAATGATCCTAAGTGTTCTCCACCTACTTTCAGCTTATCAGTTCTGTTATTTATTTAAATGAACATACTAAGATTTGATTTCACAGTTCCTGGGGTCTTTATTTTCCACATATTTGGAGGTGGATTTAGCAGGTTGAATCATCGTTACATTTACAGGATGTAATTTAAAGCACCATCTTAAAACGAAGACTTTGATTTTCACAGGGTTTATAAAAAAAGCTCATGGAGATTCTCTAAATTCAGATGTTGCTTGGTGTGATCCGAAAGTTTTGTATCAAAGTATTACCACAGAATTATAGAATAGTTTGTGATAGAAGGCACCTTTAAATGTCATCTAGTCCTATTCTCCATCTAGACTAGATTGATTGCCATTCTCCTTCGTGCAGATCTGTCTGCTTGCAAGCTCTTTATAAATTGCTGAATGGATTCAACTGTATTGCTGTGGCAAGTTCGTCTTCTCCTTCCTAGCCAATATTAACAGTGATTTTATTGATGTTACATCTAGCTATTCCAAATGAATGGGGAATTCTTATAGTGTACTTTTGGTCCTATTCTGCCTTGAAAAGATTAAAATTCAGGTTCTGTTTGCTGCAAGTGGAAGAGCATAAGAAAAATCAGTGCCTCTCAAGGATCTTTGTCATTGCTTTTGTAATTCTCAATTGAGAAAGCCTAGTGAAGCATTTTTGCCTTTTCTTCTTGCTTTGAATGTTGATTCTGATGGTAATTTGTGGAGACCTACTTTCAGTTTAATGTTCAGAAAATTACAATAGCTTAAAAAAAAAGATGTGGATTTTTTTCCCATGTAGAGGCAGTGCTAGGGGAGATGCCCCATCTTAACAATTATACTTGTTGACATAGAATCATGGAATCATGTTGAATCATGGAATGCACTGGGCTGGAAAAGACCTTAAAACATTGTCTGCTTACAAGCCCCTACCATGAGCAGAGACATCTCCCATGGACCAGGTT